GGCCACCACAGAAGTCAGGCTTGTTTTCTCCTTTAATCAGGTGAGAGCTTCTGTTTCATTTCATGACCACTGGTTTTGATTTCTGTCTATTTCTGCATTTTGCTTCACCTCCAGATGTTGTTTGATACAGATGGCACAGACGAAGAGCTCTCATCTGGCCTCACGATGAGTGGCTGTAATAAATGGGAATCACTTAGAAGACAAGGGTGGTCCTTGCTCTCCTTCAAATGAAGAGGTGAGATGCACAGCCAAGGCCATGGGCAAGGGAAGGCTGAGCCCACAGGTGGGTTTTATGTACAGAAGTGCTTTGTCTTTCCTTCTCCAGGGCCCTCCCCATTGCTTCATCTCCCTTTGCACTCAAACCCCAATCTCCAGCTGTACTTGGGCTATGCTTCTTTCTGAGCTACCTCTGATCTTTAAGAGTGTCTCCCATCTCAAACTCCTAGAGAGGAGTGTGCCTGGCCAAGAAACAGCTCCAACCAGAACAAAACACTCATTTTACAGCTCATTTTACACCTAAATGCTCAAGGAACAGAGAAATGCAGTCCAGACAAACGTTGGGTAGAATGAGAATCTGCATGTCTCAAGGACATGGTTTGCATGTCAGCAAGAGATGTGACCCAAGAACAATCCACCTCATTTTAGACACCCAACGAGACACCACCAACAGCAACACGATAACCCTGCCCTCCCTGCTGTGCCTGCGCCCATGCACTGACACTCAACAGCACTTGCAAACTCAAGATGGTGTAATGCAGACTAGGAAGGCTGCACAAAGATTGTGTGTCCTAATGAAAGAACTATCAGCTTGTGTAAAAGGAAGCACAGAAGTGCAGACCTCATTCTGGCATCTCAGGCTCCAGAGCAAACTTTGGAAAAAGTAATGATTTTCCAGGTAAAAAAGTATCAAACAGGAAGAAGGAATGTTTCTTCTGAATGAAGCAGCCACCATCCTGATTGCTTTTCTGTAGGAAAGTGGATGTTGTATAACAGGAAATGAGAATGTGCTAGTGAGGCTAAAAAGCAAAAGCTATTTACTAAATACTGGCCTCATGGGTGCACTAGAAAGAATGGGAGAAAACATATGCATGGAGAAAGACTGACAGAAACTTGTGCCTCAGAATAGAACTATTCACATGAGATACTCTCCATTGTGCGGGCACTGTCTGTCAGTAAGGATGTGTATTGAAAATAAATGAGTTATACCCTTCTATTGTCATGACCACTGAAAATAGACATCTGGCATTGAAGGCATAGCAGACACAAGTTACTGAGCTACCTCTGAAATGAATAGGGTGTAAGAGGAAGCAGACACTAAACATCCCATTTAGTGAATGACCCAACTGGAAAACATGCTCACACACCAGAACCACGCACAGCCCCACTGCCACTGTCTGAATAGATCTGGCAGGGCTTGGCCACTGGGGCTCATTTTCTCAGCACGGTGGGACTGAGATAACCCATTCCCTGCTACTCATGTTCTTGGTCTCTACTCCCATGTCATCCCATCAGTCATTCTGTGTTTGCCCCATGGACACAGTCGCACAGACTTTTCTCCCCTGTTGCCCCATGTAAAAATCTCCTGCAAGGCTCCCCTGCCATGACCCAGGTCATTCCATTTTGGAACATCAAAGAACCACGGGTGAGCCACACCAAGAGGCCCAGGAACACCCACTGGGATACCCAGAAAATCACAGCAGTGCGTCTAGGGCTGACGGGCCGCTGCTTTCCCATGATCAGCAGTAGTAGGATGGGAAGACCTTAATGTCGTGTAGAGCAGCATGAGCACAGCTCCTCCAGAAAAATGCCATCTGTGAGGTCATTTTCAACCGAGACCTCCTGAGAGGAGGGATGCAGGGGAAAAGGAGGGGTTTTCCTTGACTGCTGCTGTTATCAGGCTTCCCTCCTCCAAATACTCCAAGGGAATGGATTTGTTAAAGCATGTTCTGCCAATTTGCTATTCTTCATTGCTTTGCCTACAGCAGAGGCCCGCATAATCTTATCTGCTGCTCAGTGCATTGCAATGCCAGCTCAGGGATCAGCACATACTCCGCTACGTCCTTGCTGTTCCCTTTGGATGTATCTCTGCAGAAAAGCTTAGGGGACTCAGTCCTCTGAGCGGATCGTAGCATGGGGAAATGTTGTCTGAGAGACATTAGACCTTTTCCTGGGGAGAAGGAACAGCGAATGTAAAGAAAGCACAGCTCAAATCCTGTTATTAAAGCAGTGGCAGAGAATTGAAACAACCAAGTGGAGGAGGAAGGAGGGTGAAGTCACGTTTTCAGAGTGCCAAAGCACTGTCATTACAGCTTCTACTTTCCCATGCAGCAAAAGCAACGTGTACTTTATTCAGGGGGCACAGTGCACACAACACACGCCCTGTGCATCAAAAGGCACTGCTGATGCACTAACAACTGGCAATACTGCACTGAGTTCTTTAGCAGTGCCTTAGAGCAGTTATCTGCTTGGATGCAGCAAAACTCCTGCCTCTTTGCTCCCAGCTGTGTGGATTTGGGGAGTACAGAATGAGAGCAGGAGCTCTTTGCCATGAAGATGTCTTACAAAACTGCTCTGGGATTTACAGCCTCTGTTTCCTGACAGGAAAGAAAGCAGGCTCCGGTGAGGATGCTTCTTTTCCCAGCCGGTGATGCAGCAGAATGGATGGGCTGTCACAGAGCCGCTGTGCACTTCAAACAGGTTGTTGGTGATTAAATGCAAAATTCATCCGGGACATGAGGTTCTCATTCAGCCTGGAGGCAGTTCAAAGACCTTTACAGCACTCTCACTGTAGAAAGACCAACTCATCCTTCAAGCAGACACTTTTTGCTGACTTTTACTCACTGAGTGGTAAAGTCTGGAAGGGAAACAGGGTTGCTGTGTCCCTTTTGAGTGCTGCTCCCTGTGTCTCCATCACCTGGACTCAGTGAAACAGAAGCACCTTCCTCTGTTAGAAAGGCATAGAAAACAATGCAGGGAAGATGTTGTCTTCTGGATTATCTAGGATCTGCTTGGCAGAATGGGCTGGAGTATTTCACTGCACTGTTTCTGCATCTGCACAGGACTTTGACAATGACAAGCACTGTCAGTCCGTAATATCCAATCTGTTCCTAGTTGGCCCTAACCTCTTTTAGCAGAGCAAGGATTTATTTAGCATTAGGGAATGTTTTGTCTTTCTGGAAACTACAGTATCCCCCATGGACAAACAATACATCATGATTTCACAAACAGCTACCTTGAAAACCTACATGATCAAGGAGATGACACCCCATCGTGTCCAGGGAGGCTGCCAGGTCCTGTTCTTTGTTCCTGTCTTATCTGAGAACAGGACCTGCTTTTTGAGTCCCACAGATGCACTGTTTGCTTGCTGGCTTTGAGGCTTTTTGGTTTTGGTTGGTGTTTATTCCATTACTGGGAAGCCCAGAATAACTCCTTCTCCCCACACACTTGCTATAGTTAGGGGAGGTCTGTCCATCCCGTTGGGATCTGTCCTTGCTCCCCAACTCATCCGTCCCCTGAACTTTGGCTTGTTTCTCCTTTTCTATCCCATTCTCTGGGCTCAGTCACACATGGCTTTTCTTTAGCAAGCTCTTCTCCTAGTGACTTTCTTGCCACCTTCCTACAACTCTCATGACCCAGCCTCTGCTCAGGTCTGCTCGGAGCAGAAGCAAAGGAGGAATTTGCCTGGTTATCCAGTTTGAAATGGGAAGGCATCAGTGCAATAACTGAGGCATGAAATTCTATGTTCCTGCTTTAAAGAGGGCACAGTGTGGGTGATGGCAGTGACTTTGTACTAGGAGGCAGTTGGACTCATTTGCTGGGAGATCCAAAAGCAGCACAGGTAGAAAACATTCCCTTCTCCTAAAACCAGACAAAGACCCTGCTGACAACCAGACCATCACAGAACTGTTATGGCACCTGCCTATCTGCAAGACATACAGCAGTGAGCAGCACAAGCAGCATCACTCCCAGAGAAACAACCATCTGAAAGCTGTACCATTACTGCCTCTAGGGATTACTGACCCCTCCAGCCAGCTCATTTGGTGTAAAGAGACTGGCCAGGATGGTCTGAGAGCAAAGTACAGCTAAATCCAGCCCCCAGCCTGCTTCTCCACTGGGATATGACTCAAATCACCAGCTCCCTCTGCAGCCCCATGGCCAGCCCCTGCCCTGCCCCAGCAGCACATGGCGAGCATCACTCCTTCCAGGCAACCTGCTTGCTGTTTGTGACTTGAAGCTGATACTTCCTGGCAGCCAAACTGCCCAGGCCAGCCTGCACTGCCACCACCGTGCCATCCAGCAGCATCTGCTTCCTTCAGGATCCTCCAGCTACCCAGCTCACTCCACCTCCCCACCAGCCTAAGAGCAGACAGGGATCAGAGCTGAGCCTGATTTCTTTTCCCTTTCTTTCCCCCCCACCCCTTCCTTCTATCTGACACAGCACCAGGAAGGCACCGGCTGCTGCCCACACCATTCACACTAGGATTTATGAGCCATGACCACCAGCGGCAAGCAGAATAATTCCTCCTTCCATGATTTCAGCAGTGCTACAGACACTTAGGGAAATACAACTGGCTAATGGACATCACTCAGACCACCCCCAACAGTTCCCTTTGTTGCTGGCCTCTTTCCAGCTCTCTCTACTTCATTCAGCTGAGTAGTATTCACTGGCCACAGCAAGAGACCCCCAAGCCCCTTCTGATGCTTAGCAGCGACCCGTCTGATGCCCTGGTCTGACACCGAGCAGCATGAGCCTTGTGCAGGATGAAGGCTGGACTTGCTGCAAGCACCTTGCAGGGCTGGCCCCACATAATCCCTCTAGCAAACAAACTTCAACTCAGCAGGCTGCCTCCTCCTCCTCTGCTGTACCAGAGCCCAGCAAAGACCATCCACTCATCACACCACGTGTTGGCCAATGACTTCCAGTGCTGTCCCGGTCCTGCAACACCACCACCATCCACACACCCAGAGAAGAGGAAAGCAGAGTGTCTGCTCATACTCACAGTTTTGAAGTCCTCATGGCTGCACTCTTGGCCTTTGAACTTGCAGTACAGCATCATATCCTTCAGGTCATGGCCAACCCGGGCCAGGAACTCCTGCATGTTGAAAACTTTGGGCTTATACTGCTTAAAGTTGGCCTTTTCCTGGAGGATGGCTAAGACAGCCGGGTCAGCCAGGTGCGGGTTAGGGATCTGCAGGTTGACGTCAAGCAGAGCCAAGAGCTCCCCAGCGTGGTACAGGTCATTGGTGGTGAGCCGGGAAAAGCGGAACTCATTGAGGTTACAGATGGTGACAGCAGGGAAGACCAGGCTGTTTGCCACAACCTCGTCCATTTTGGTCACGTGCTGGTAGGAGAAGTAGAAAGCCACCCGGTCGGAACTCTCAACCAGGAGGAGACCCAACGAGCCCACAAAAGCCAAGGTCCAGAGCAGGCGCCGGATGGTCACCGGCCCATAGACAAAGACGTGACGGATCCCATGGAGCGTGGAGGTGTTGGCAAAAATCTGGATGCTGGAAGGCTGCAGGCTGCCCATGCTGCCCTCGCTGGTGCTGTCCTTCAGATCCATCAGGGATAGTCGGATAAATCCTGACACTGCTTTTTGGGTCAGTCCTTAGCTGGAACTGGGATCCGGATCTCTTCCCTCCCCTTTCAAAAGTGATTTTGCCCCTTCAGAGCAGCAGAGTCTCAGGCCGGCTGCTGCCAGTTTCTCCCACAAGCTCAGCAGTAGCTTTGGAAGGGGAAAGATTTACATCAAATCCATTCAAACTCTCGCTCTTGATTTCCTCGGTGCGATAAGAAGGGCTGGTTTTATTTAGGGAGACACCAAGGTGATGTGGAAGAGATGTGGGTGGGCAGCAAAAGCTGAACCAATGGAAATAGAGTCCTCCCCCTACACACACACACATGGACACACACACGCGCGGAAGGGAGATGAGATTAAGTGAGAGACCGAGCTTAAAACAAGCCAGCTCGCAGCCTGTTAACTAGTGCGGAAAGCCCAGGGATGCTGCTGCTTGCAGGGCACTGGGGCTTTCAGACCCATCGGGTGATGCTCGCCGTGCCCCTGGGATGCGAGCTGCTGGATTTCAGCATCTCTCCTCCTCCCCACCCCTCCATTTTGGCCAGGGCTTCAAGAAATACCACCCCAAAACTCACCCTGTGCTGCCGGTGTTGTTTCTCTCAGGGGAAGGTGGGCAGCTAATTCAGCAGGAGAAGTAGGGGAGGAAAAGGGGGAGGGAAAAGGAAATGCTAAAAGAAAAGGAAAAGGGGGGGGAAATTGCTGCCTGGCTCCATGCACACACATACACTCAACTCGAGCAATAGGTGAAGCCTCTTCTCTGCCACACAGCAGCTCAGAGAAGAAAATGAGGAAGGGCAAGCCTCAGTGGGGAGAGGCAGCAGGAGGAGAGGGGCTGCAGCATCTCTCATCTCTGTCAGTCTCCGAGCTTCCCTTCACATCAGAGAAGCGCTGAGAGCCGTGAGTCCTGCATCGATCCAGAGCCCTGCAGCAGGGTGAGAGCCCAGGGGAGAGCAGGGAGAGGAGGATGCGATCCAAGACCCCCAGGCAGGAGGTGCCTGAGGCTGGAGGTGGATGTGCCTCAGTGGGACCTGGGGGAGAAGGGCTGAGCCAAAAAGCTCTTACAGCCCCCGGGCTCAACCCACTGAGGGCTCAGAAGGCTTTTGGCCAGCAGGAGCTCCAGATGTTCCGTTTGGTGCTGAAAGGCAGCAGTGATTTGGGGAAGATCCAGATGTGCGTTCAGACAGGAGGTTTGGAAGGAGGAGGTAGGGGAGGAAAAGTGGGAAAGATTTTCTACCCAAGAGATGCTGCAAAATCCCATAGCGATGCCTCCATGCATGAAAGCATCCTTAGTGCATGCTGCAGGAGGTGGGAATGAGCAGGATTCAGCCTAAAGATGAAAGGTGCTGGCATCTGAGCAGCTCCCCTCCATCCTGTCTCAGTGCACAGCAGTATTTCAGCCTGCTTTTGTTCAGATCCTGGATTAAAACTCAGTTTCAGTCTCTGTGCAGCACCCAGCACTACAGCTGGGGAGGGTGCCAGGGGCCATGGTAGCAACTTCTCCAGCTTGGATGAGGTGGGAGCAAAGGGTCAAAGCACAGACTGAGCTTGCCACAGTCTGCAGGGCAATGCCAGGGGAATCTCAGCCACCCATGAGGTTACCTTAATGACAAACCCAAATGTTATGTGGGGCAAAATGAGCCCAGTGATTGAATTTAATACCCCCAATGCTGTTACCATGAGAGCAGACCCTGAAAGAGCGTTTGACCCCATCACCTCTTCAGGTGCTTCACATCCATTGGTAAACCCCTGAGTTCTTTGTCCCCTGGCCATTCCCTGGTGATTTTCACCCAGGGATAAGATCATTTCAGCTTTTGCTACCTCCAAATCCACATTTGGTCCTGATAGCCAAAGGCAAGCTCAGCTGCAGCATCCCCCAGCATGGATTATCCTATGGCAGTATTCCTCAGCCTAAGCTACTCATCCCAACACTGCTGTATGGCAGCACAATGCTACTTTCTCTGTTTCATACCACATAAACTGAGGCAAGGAGGGGACAAAGGGCTTGTGAGCAGTGCAAGCCCATTTGTGGTTAAACAGAGCTGTGCCCTTCTTTATGAAGCAGAACTTCAGCCAAGGTGAGGCTTTACAAACCTCCTGCATCTTGGCATGCCCTTTCCAGGAGGGATGGAGAAGACAGCATTGAGCAGACTCTAGCAACACACGGACCAGAATTAAAGCAGTTGAGGACTGTGGGCACAGCACCCTTGTTCCTGAGCTCTGGACTTCTCTGCCTGTCTACCCCTGTGCTCACCATCTCCCCAGAGCCAGGGACAAGACTATTCTCCCCAACAAAATGGGAATGGGCTCCCTTTCCCACCCATGGCCAACCCATTTGCAAATCTCCCTCCTCTCTCCCCATCTGCATTATTTGGCCTGGTACGTTGATGCTTTCATTTATTCACCATATGCACTGTCTTTACAATCCTGTTGTCTGTAATTCATACCATATACCATCTGCTGCCTTTGATTAGTTAACTATGGAGACAGCTTTGGCTGCAGTCTGCAGGAAGAAGCGCTGTACCCAGCAGTGCTGCCTGGCACCAGGCTCTGCTCCACTGCCTATGGGGCTTGGGGCCAAACCAGGGACATAAATGCTCTCCAGTGAGTGCCTGTGGCTCAGGCTGTGCCCAAGAGGCACGGTGTCCTGGGAGCCAAGGCAAGCAGCTCTGGTTGCCCCTAGGGGTTCACTGTGTGATAACACCATAGTGAAATGGGGTGTAAGGGATGGGAGGAGCTGCGGGCCCCTCTCAGCACCCATGTAAGCAGCCTCTCTGCAAGTAGATGCGCACGGTAAGGATAAAGCAGCATGGCTGGTCCTATGGAAGACCCTGAGATAGCATAGCCCAGCTAAGGGAGCATTCCCCTTCCTCGGGTCACCCAGGGAATGGCAGGGCATCCCTGGGGGGCTTGGTGGGGTGAAGGAGCTGCTTTGGGAGCTCGTAGCCAAATCTCAGTCCCTGAATACTCCTCACAGACCTCTCTGCTTCAAATCTCGTTCAGAAAGGGCAGAGGAGCCGGCCAGAAGATACCTCCCTTAGGAGGAAAATCCCTTTCGCCACCCCTTACAGAGATGGAGTGATGGAGGGGGCAGCATTGAGGCACCCGGGGAGCAGAATCGAAGCTCTCTCCCGTTAGTACAGCCTGTGCCTGCCCTCTTGTGTCTTAAGCCAAGGCTGCACTGCTCAGAACGAGGGACCTCAGGCCTGAAACATGTGGGAAACGGGCTTATTTGGGGAGAGAACAGACCTGTGTGACCCCCTCTGCTTCCACATCGCCACCTGAGCCTTCCCAGGAGCGTGTCCCAGGGGAGGGTTTGCACTGGGAAAGCCAGGAGTGGCCTTAGAGACAGAGCAATGGGTTGTTCTCAGAACAAAAGGAGACGCTTTGGCTCCCTGAATGGTTCAGCACAGGGTCCCCTGCACCCTGCACCAGAGCCCTCTCCTTAGCAATGGAAATTGATGCATTTTCTACCAACTTACTGGTTTTTATGTTTCCCTCTGGGCTTGATTAGGGAAAGAGAAGAAAAGGGAAAGCAAGGATGGTTGCAGGCCAGGAGAGCGGTTCATCTCCCCTGGCCCAGCTTTAAACCATTACTGTCATTGCAACGAGCACCAGAAGAACATTCCCATCAGTTTCACAGGATGCTGCTCCTGCTGCATCCCCTTGGACCTTGCAAAAAACAAGGACAACAGAAGGGGAAGTCAGGGAGCAATGGGACAACAACAATGACACCAGGGAAGACTTTGTTTCAGATGTTCATGGTCCCATGAATCTCCCTCCATTTCTCAGCCTTTCCCTTACCTTTTTGGACTCTCGTGTCACCTACCTGCTTTATTGCCAGTATCTGCAATCTCTTGGGGACCCAGAGCTCCACTTAGCAGAGAGAACTCGGCTACTTAAATAACTCTGCCTTTCCAAATGGGAAGATAATGCTGAACGCTGATGTTTCCCCTGAAATTAAATCCCTTCCAAAGTAGTTTTGGCTCAGTTAAATGGCTTTTAATGCATATATAAAACTGAGATTTTGATTGGTTTTCAATGTGTTTAATATTATGCTTGGATTTATAATGGGGTATCAAATGCAGGCAATGAAAAAGAGAAAAGAAAGAAGTCTCCTTGAAAGAAAACCAAAAATATTCATATAGCTGCACATGGGGAAGCACTTTCTAAAGGAAAGTGTTGGAAGAGAATGAAATGATACCCACGTCCCCCAAATAAAGTTGCTGATAAAAACATCATATTGACAGAGAGGCAAAACTGCGTCTTCCATTGGAGGAACTATTTTGAGGGGAAGCTATGCCTGGCACCCCCCAGTAGCAGAGAGGATGCTCCAGGATACCTTCCTCCTCCTCCTCCTCTCCCTGCAGAAACACTATAGCACATTAATAGCTCAGTGGTGGCAGAGCTGAGCCTCCAGTCTCCAAATCTGGCTGGTGATGGGGGGGAGAAGCTCCCCTTGATGCATAGAGATTACTCAGAGCCCAAATCAGCCCAGAGCCCACAAACTGAGTTATATCTACAGATTTCATTACAGAAAGGGAATATTGGGTTTGCAGTGATGTTTTCCAGCAGTAGGAGCCACTCTCTCTGCCATTCCCAACTTCTCTGCAATAACTTGGATTTATCAGCCCTCCCTGCAGGGTTCAACCAGGGTTTGGGGATGTTCACATTAGTGTAGATGGCACCCGCTCGGTGCACAAAGTGAGCTGCAGGGATTGCAGAGCCTCAGCTCCATCCTCCTGTGCCATCACTTCACTGCAGAACCATGAGCAGGACACAGTGGGCTTTCATTCCATGTAAAACTCAAGGTACGGGGCCCCTGTCCTGGGTGTAGAGATCTGGGGATGAAAACTGCAGTGGAAGAATGACATTTTCCTTTGGCACCTCCCTGTTTCAATAGCCCTTGAAATCATACTTGTTCTCTCTCAAGCTTCACACAATTTAATTTTGAGTTAGATGCGTTAGTTCTGCCGGATAATCTAATTCCTCAGGAAGTCTCTGAAAGCACTTTGAATTATTCATGGGTAATTCAAGCTTAGGACCTGTTCCAGGCCTCTGTTTCTGGATAAAGCCACACATTTCTTCTTGTCGGCATGTGAAACAAGCCAGGAAAATTCACCAAAATACCTGTTTTTTAATCCTTTTGCCCTAAAATGTCTTCATCAGCTTTTCTTTCTTTGAATTTTCTCTTTCAGTGCCAGTGCAGCTCCTAATGGGAATTCTTATTTCATGGGATTACAATTCTCAGAATAATTAAGAGAAAGAATCCTACAAATTAAGAAGTCATCCTCTCGTCACTATAGCAACCCTGATGGTCCTTCCTCAAGTGGCTGAACTGAGAAAACAAGGAAAAAAACAATCTGAGAGATAATTGCTATCCTGCTGCCAAAAGAGCAGAGCTGGGAGGTGAGATGGGACAGACGGTCCTCAGTGCTCCCCAGGAGGGATGTCTCTGTGTCATTCCTATCTGATCTCAGCATGGAACAGTTGGTCACCCTGGAGGCTTGTGCCATAGAGGTTCTGCTTCAGGATGAAGGGTGCCTGTAAGGATGCTGGGGAGAGACTCTTCATTAGGGAGTGTGGTGATAGGACAAGGGGTAATGGGTTCAAACTGAAACAAGG